GGATATCCCTACCTTATTGGGCTTCATGATAAAGGGGTGTATAGGATATCCCTATCCTAATTTTTGCTTATGTGCTTTTTTTGGGCCCTATTTGGGTTTTGGATTTGGGGTTTACGGTTGAGGGTTTAGTAATCTAGGGTTTAGAAAGGTCTTGTCAGTGTTGGTAACAGAATTAGAATCTCTTCTCCCCTAAACCCAAGCTGTAAAAGCTGAACCCTAAACCCCTAGAGCCCGAAACCCTAAACCCTCAACCCTAAACCCTAGACCCCTAAAGCCCTAAACCCTAGACCCCTAGACCCCTAAGCCCTAAACCCTAAACCCTCAACCCTAAACCCTAGACCCCTAAAGCTCTAAACCCTTAACCCTAAACCCCTAGACCCATAAAGCCCTAAACCCTAGACCACTAAAACCCTAGACCCCTAAAGCCCTAAACCCTAAACCCTAGACCTCTAGACCCTCAACCCTAAAGCCCGTGACCGGAAAAGTCCACGACCCAAGGAGTCTCGCGGATTGGTGGAGGTGGTGGAGACATGGACAGATCTTGCAGCTGGGCTATGTGGGGTCTACGGTCCCTTTCGGTTTACTTTAGGGTTTATGTAGGGTTCAGGGTCCTTTTTAGGGTTCTTAAAGGGATCTGCAGGGGTTCTATAGGGTTTCTGTAGTTTGGCTGGGCCAATGTGGGGGGGTTCGATTTTGAGCAGTTGCTATTTTTCCGAGGGTTTCGTATTTTTCAATTCAGTTTATATGGCCCGTTATGAAGGTCACTATATCATGTGATTTGTTGGAGCTAGGTTTATTTTAGAGATTTTGGTGAGCATGTGTAGGGCTTTTTTCAGGATTAGGCGAGTGCATGTTCGTAGCCTGATTGTGGGGATATTTGTGGTGACAGCCCCCTACACTTACACACGTGAGTAGTATTTTTCGCAGCGTGCGGGGCTTGGGGTTAAGGTGTAGAGGTTTCAGGTTACACGTTGGGTGTAAAGCCTAGACCCTACTTAGATGTTTAGGGTTTAGGGTTCAGGGTTTAGGGGTTTAGGGTTTAGGATTTAGGATTTAGGGTTTAGGGTTTAGGGTTTGGGGTAAGGTTATATGTACCTTAATTGCGAAATTGTAACTTATACTGTAGTTACCCCAATTATAACCCCAATTACTAAGCCCCATGAACCTTTAAGTAAGCCCTCACAAGCCGCACGCCCCGAACCCCGCCTAGACCTGGGTTGCAGCACCTTTTGTTGATTGCCCAGTCTGTGATTCCCCAACCCTATACCCAGTTTAGGGTGCAGTGTCCAGACCGTAAACCCCTAAACCCCTAAACCTCTAAACCCCTGAACCCCTAAATCCCAAACCCCTAAACCCCTAAACCCCTACAGTGTCCAGAACCTAGGAGAAGGATCTACAGAGCAAAAAGATTGTTCCAAAGCTGAACGCCGGAAGCATCTACCTCTTTGCCGGGAATGCCTCCTTCCATCGGGTGTCACCGGTGACGTCCGGCACCCGAATCAATGCCATCCTGACGTACAATGTCGAGGAGACATGCCTGGAGCTTGAGATTTGGGGTTTAGGGTTTAAAGGCTTTAGGGTTTAGGGTTTAGGGTTCAGGGTTTAGGGTTCAGGGTTTAGGGTTTAGGGTTTAGGGATTGGGTTTAGAACCAGATCTTCCAAAATCCCTGATTTAAATCGTACTAAGGCTTCTTACTATAAACGAAGGTCTAGTCCTCAATCGAGGGATATGGGAAGAGCTGGGGAAGTGGTACTGCTCCTCAGTCCTCCTTCTTGCCCCTAAACCCTGAACCCTAAACCCTAAACCCGTATTTCTTCTCCATATAACATAGATAGCCAATAGGAGAACTTTAAACTTTTTGGCCTTATCTATTAGCTCTATCCCAAAAAGTTTGAACTTTTTTGGGCCTGGTTGTTGAAGAAGAGAGGTAAATTCCCTAAACCCTTCAACTTAAACCCCTTAAATTCCCTAAACCCTAACAGAATAAAGAGCTCATCAAGTCCCCTCTATTGATCTTCGTTCGTGGGGGTTTAGGGTTCAGGGTGTCAGGGTCCCCTCTATGATTTTTTAGGGATTAGGGTTTAGGGTTTAGGGTTTAGGGTTTAGGGTTTAGGGTTTAGGGTTTAGGGTTTAGGGTTTAGGGTTTAGGGTTTAGGGTTTAGGGTTTCGTGGCGGTCCTTAAACAGCAACAGGGGTCCTTCCATGTAGGGCTCTATCTATATAAGTTCCCCTTATTCTTCTGAGACCCCCCACCTTAGGGCAAACGCCAGAACCTTAAACAAGCCCTACACCCTGAACAAGCGCTAACGCCTAAACCCTTATAGTCTAGGGTTTTTGTTTGCGGAGAAACCGCCATAGCCTACTACTATTTTTGCAGGCTTTTATTGTAAGCCTTAATAGCAGATTTCTAGGGTACCCTACAAAAAATGAGGAATACGCCGTAAAATATATAGGCTTCCTACCATAATTTTGAGGGATCTTCCTTATGTAATTCATTCTTTTTGAGTCTACTCTGGGCCCCAAAAACCACTCAACCCTAACACTCTAGCCCTTTAGGGTTTCGGGTTTAGGGTTTAACCCTAAACCCTAACGCCTAAAAGACCCTAAAGGAGAACCAGCGGCTGAATGCCTACACGCTGAAGAAGTTTTTCGGCATCGGCGAGGACGCAGCTGCATAAGTTCAAAAAATGGGCGGCGCAGCAGGATACGAAGTCGTTTCAGGACTTGGGTTAGATCCCTAAACCCTAAACCCCTGAAGCCCTGAACCCCTGAGCCGTTTACGGCTTCAAGTCTAGGAAGATGTTAGATCCTAAACCCTAAACCCTAAACCCCGGTTTCTCGATCAAGGGGGATTTTCAGGTGGGTAGTTACCGTTATAGGAGCCGTATAGAAGGTCTTTTTGCCTTGTAGAAGCCGTATAGAAGCCCTATATACCCTAAACTCCTCACCTGTAGTTTCTTTTAACCTTATGTTGGAAACTGTGATACGTACCATACAGCCCCGAGCTTCAACGCCCAAACCGAGTCTGGAAATGGGGAGCAGGTCGTAATCCCTAAACCCTAAACCCTAAACCCTGAACCCTAAACCCTAAACCCTAAACCCTAAACCCTAAACCCTAATCCCTAAACCCTAAACCCTAAACCTTAAGCTTGGAATTCTGGGGGGAAATTTGCGTACTTTCCGAGGCCTTTGGCCCCAAGACCCAGCCTCATAGGGCCGACGTGTTGGTGGTGTTTGTTTTTAAGTATGTTTAGGGTTTAGGGTTTAGGGTTTAGGGTTGAGGGGTTGTGCACTATGTTACATGATACTATATGGTCCTTTATATGTCCAGTGTAGAATGTTATCTTTTAATACATAATACAAACACTGTCCGGTGTATTGGTCAGAACCTCACCATGGTTCTGGCTTCCAGTTTAGGGTTTAGGGTTTAGGATAGGGTTTAGGGTTTAGGGTTTATGCTACCCATGATGATGATTAGTAGTCAAATTTTGGTTCGTACTGCTATTGGCAGAAGTTGTCATAGTCTGATTCCCAGAATACCGAGTACCATCTATGGCTTGTGTGAATAGAACGTCTTCCCCGAGAATTGCGGCCATGCGCAGCTTGCCAAATGCATCCCTTCATATGCGCCGTTGTGACGACGCTGCTTCTTTCCCTGGGCCCCTGCAGCGGGGTGCGCAGCGAGATGGAAGATCCTCCGTCGCGTTTCGGTTTAGGGTTTAGGGTTTGAGGTTTAGGGTTTAGGGTTTAGGGTTTAGGGTTTAGGGTTTAGGCACTGGGAGAACTTGAAGCTTTTCAGCCTTATATATTTGGTCTATCCTAAAAGCTTCGACTTTTTAGTTGGGCTTCGTGTTGAAGAAGGGTGGGTTTCGGGTGTTGGGTTTTGGGTTGAGGGTCTAGCGGTTTAGGGGAACCATCATGGGACGCTGTCTGGACCTGGTTGGCCAGCACCTTTCAACACACAATTGAGAGGGCTTCTTGAGGCTAACGTAGGAGCCTTAATAATTAGAATAGGGTTTGGGGGTATATTATAGCCTAATTTTGATAATAAGGAACCCTCAAAATAGTATGGTTTTTTTTCAGGGTTCCCCAGTAGTACCCTTTTGCCCTTTTTTCTTTTAGGGTTCCAAACCCAAGTAGTAGGAAAAAGGGTACCCCTATTATTATGGGGCTACTGGGGAACCTAGTTTTTAGGGTATATCATACCATAATTACTATAATAAGGAACCCTAAACCCTAAACCCTAAACCCCTTTGTAGACCCCCATAGTAGCCAGGCTCAGGCGCCCAAGGCATGTCGCAAGTGCACGTAGGGCCCCTTTCCCACATGACACCATTTGCAAGACTGAATTATTCTGGGTTCCGCAGTAGTATTTGCCCTTTTGCTAAATTAGGGTCCCTTTTGGAATCTTTTTTAGAAGGGTGCCGTACTATATTGGGGACCTAAAAGGGACCCTAATTTAGAGAACTACCCATTTGCAAAGCTGAATTGTTCAGACAGGGTGTGTTCCATGAAATTCCAGTCGGTCCGCCTGCTGTGTTCGGATCCCTCGCTCCTGTTTCTTGGGCCATTGTCTGGACATACCAAACTCGAGGGTGCGCGATGGGACGCTGGAGCCTTTTTTGACCATTTCTGAACCCTGATTAAAACCAGTGCGGTCGACATAGAACTAATGAGCACCAGTATCCTCTCTTAAAGGCTTGTTGTTTAGGGATAAAGGGTCAGAAGTACACCAAGCAACATGCTTTTAATTATGGGTCTGGGGAGTCTCCTGGTACCCCCGGACGATCAGGCCCGAAGACCTAAAAGCGTAAACCCTGACCCCCGTTCCACTACCAAGACGTGAACCTAGAGTACACCCTAATTCCTAAACCCTAAACCCTAAACCCTAAACCTTAAACCCTAAACCTGAAACCCTAAACCCTAAACCCCAGACCCCAAACCCTAAAGCTTAAACCCTAAACCTTAAACCTTAAACCCTAAACCTCAGACGACCAAGGACTCCCTTAGCACTGCAAGTGCAGTCCTTGCAGCCGTCGAGGAGGAAGTGGGCGTTGTGGGCTTGAGGGTTTTTAGGACTGTTGTTGTTTTTAAACCCTTTAAGACCTAAACCCTAAACCCTAGACCGGAGCTATGTCAGGGTTTAAGGTTTAGAGTGATTGGAGCCTGGAGTTTCATAGGGTTTCGGGCTTGGCTTAATGTTCGAGGTTTAGGGTTTTTCAGCGTTTTCTTGTGCAGTGGCCGATAGTCCGTGCCAAGATGGCGCCACCTCACACCAGGCTTTGTGTGTGGCGTCAAAACCCTAAACCCTAAACCCGGCGTCAAGCGACCTCCCTTGTATGCTGTGGTAGAACTCTGGGTTTAGGGTGTTCCCATCAAGTGGAAAATCAAGGTACTATAGGGGCCTCACTAATTACCTATATTATTTTGGGGGTTCCTTTTTTGTAATCAGGCCCCGACCTTATTCTGGTAGATTTTCGGCCCAGCTGTGGCCGGCGGCGAGGCGGAGCCCTCGCTTTGGTCCAGTGCGGGTGTAAGGGCCTATGGGTAGGAAAGGCCCCAAAGGGCAAGGTGGGAATTCAGGGTTTAGGGAGGTTGGTGTTTCGGACTAAGGAATTGGGGTTGTGCGGATTCCAGTCAAGGGTTAGAATTTGGGGCGTTTTAGGCGTACTTGAAGGTACATGGGCATCTGCAGAACCCAGGTGTGCCTTAGTGGTTAAGTTAATGGCCGACAGCCTGGAGGAACATCCGTGCTACCTTTTTTTCTTTCCTTACTAGGGTTGATACTGGGGCTCCGCACAACCCCAATCCCTAAAGCCCTCCTGAACACTGAACACTATATCCTGGTTCATGTAGCATGGGGCCGTGGACTCCAAACCCCATGTAGGATCATCTTGGGGGTTCGTATAAGGGTCGAAGTGATGAGCACGGTTTCTTCGGGTTTAGGGTTTTACTGTTTGTGGGTTGGGGTTGCAGGGTTTTGGGGTTTGCTGGCTTAGGGTTTTAGGGTTTTGGAGTTCTACGGCCGAGAAGGGTTTACAAGTTGAGGGGTTTGGATATCAGCATCAAGGTTTAGTTTTAAGGCTAGTCTTCCGGACCACATTGCAAGCTTGAAGCCTAAACCCGAAATGATGGAGGGTAAACCCTAGACCTTGAATCCGAAAGTCCGATTCCAGCCGGAACCATGCGTGCTGCACGCACTGTTTATGGTCGTATCCCTTTTTGTAGGAGTCAACTTAATCTTTACAGCCGTTATAGAAGCCTCGTAGAACCCTGAAAACCCGTTATGGCAACACTTATAGCAACCTTGTTTTAAACCTTACAGGACCCTTACTAAACCCTAAACCCTAAACCCTAAACCCTAAACCCTAAACCTTAAACCCTAAACCCTAAACCCTAAACCCTAAACCCTAAACCCTAAAACCCTAGACCCTTAAACCCTACACCCCTAAACCCTAAACCGCCTTACTACATATATTATCCTCCTGCCTCAGGAGAAGAGCTTGGGCCAGAGGGGCAGGGGCGGACGTGGTGGGAAAGGCCGTGCAAGCAGGAATGGCACCAACGCCGAACCTCGGGCCAAGGGACAATCCAAGGCCAAAGTCCAGGTGGGGTTGGGGTTTAGGGTTTAGGGTTTAGGGTTTAGGGTTTAGGGTTCTATCTATCTGCTGATCTGTCTATGGAAATTAACTATTAAACTTAGCTGTTGAGTTTGAGGCTTTGGGGCTCAAGAGCATGTGGGTGCCACGGCCGGCACTGTCGGTGGTCTGGTGTGAACAAACAGCTTTTAAAGAAAGCTTGGATCTCAAGGAATTTGTGACCCCCCTAAACCCCTAAACCCCTAAGCCCTAAACCCTAAACTCTTAAGGGCTTCATGTGCGTCGCACGTTCTTGTAACTACATTTTGTCTTCGGGGAAGGGGGAGGGGAGAGGTTCGGAGTTCCCGGCATCTTACGGCTTCGTTTTCGTGGTCGCCACCAGTTTAGTTCACCAACCTGAGGGTTCAGACAGATTTACAGCAGGGGTTGAAGATCAACGGTAAGTCAGTTCGGGGTTCAGAGCTAGGTAGGTCTTCAGAAGAACTTCTTTACGAATAATTTTTCAGGCTTTACAGGACCAACCCTAAACCCGAAACCCTAA